GAGACAGGGTCTCACTGTGTAGTTGAGACGACCTGGAATTCACTATGTAGCCCAGGCTGGTCTCAAACTCACAGCGATCCTCCTGCCTCAGCTTCCTGAGTGCTAGGATTACAGGCATGCACCACCACATCCAGCACGGATTTTTAAAGGCAAAGAGATTCTGGCTCTCAGGCACCAAGGGAACACACAAAGAAAGCATCTTAAAGATCCAAGATAGGAAAGCAGCTGGCTGAGGCTGGAATCTATGTCAGTAAAGTGTAGGGACTGGGCACACCTGGATGCAGAGGCAACACACCTTCGTTAATGAGGCACAGCTCCTGAACCAGTCTCCACTTATTAGGCCCCTTTCTGACTCCAGGTGAGAAAGATGGGAGACCTAAGTTTCTCTGTGTGATCTAGTCTGCTGTTCATTGGAGACCATAATCCAAAGTCTGGGGTCAGTGTTCTCCTCTCAGTCCAGCTTCAAGCATTTTCATCTCTAGGAGTTCAGGAGACTATGCCAAATCATTGACAGCCCATTATTCTTTCATCCAGACTCCCAGGGAGACCTTCACTCCTTATCACCCTCCTCAAGGCGGCAGGCTATCATGCCCTTCCTGAGAGTTACCTGATATATCACAGTTGGCACTGTGCATATAATACAATGGCAGGTTGATAAATCTCTGTTGCCAGAGCATAATCTTTAAAAAACAGTAGTGATTCATACAATATAGTCCAATAGCTAGACTTCCACCCACATGTAGTTACTAAAGGCACTAAAGGGCCCACTCACTCCTGACTCTATTGTTAATGTCTTCAACTACCATTAAGAAAAAAGGGACTGGGCAGACCCATTTGCAGCTGAAAGGGTTTTCTATTTGGAGAGAAGGAAAATAAAGAAATAAACAAACAAATTGGGCTTGTGTTCTGAGGCTGCAGTTTTTAAAGTACAATTTTTAAAATTTCAGTGTCTCCTTAGCTTTATCTCTTTTACCTCAGAAAACAACCTGTAAGATTTAAGTCTCACTTTTACTCCTGGAGCGTGAACAGCCAAGAGGCTTCCACGATGCTGGGCTCAGAAGCTCAGCGAGGCTCCAGGAGCTTGTCAGACAGCGAGAGTCACCCAGGAAGGAACACACCAGGCAAGTTGGCAAATAGACCTTTATTAGTCTGGCCAGACGGCACTCCCCAAGCCAAGTAGCTCAGAGAGGCGGCTAACTCAGAAACAGAGGCCATTTTATATAGGGCTGAGGAGGGGGGGTTTACACTTAAAACTTACAGGAAGAGGACAAAGGCAAAGAATCAGTTGATCTGAGCTAGTGGTCATCAAGCATATACTTGACCGTCACGTACTAATGTTCAGCAGATCGATTATCCAGTATTCCATTTTTAACTTAGATTATAATGTTCAGAACATTCAACTACAGGCAAGTAAGGAGTGGCGTGATTCATGTTGGATCTCTGTGTTCACTATAGTTTCCATTTAGTTTCCCAGCTACTTCAAAGCAGTTACCTAACAATTCACAATTAATCATTAGTTATCCTGTAGGGGATGTGGGGGAGCGACAGTCTCTAGGTCGTTTGCTGGTCAACATGGAGTTGCTCTGGTTCAGTCAGGCTCTTACATTCCCCACTGATTTTTGGACCTAAATCAAATCTTTGATTTACTTATATCTGACCCTGGGCCTTAATAAAGGAACACATTGTAAAAGACAACAAGTTATTGCAATACAAAATCCTAATACCATTACACAGAGTATCAGTTGTTTTACCTAGGTAATATCAGGTAACTAACTTGTTAACCGTTTAAATAAATCCCATCCTATCTGTTCATTATGAATCTTTGTAGCTAAATCTTTGAGCTTTTCTATGTCTTGTTCTATAGCTGGCCCATTATTTGTTAAATTGAAGCAGCACATATTTTTAACCCTCTCACAACCTTGGTGATGAAATAATAGCAACTAATCAATTGCCGCCCTATTATCTAAAATTGCTTGTCTCTGTTCCTGGAGTTCTTGATTAATTAGCGCCAGCGTGGCAGAGGTGGTATTTAACCCTTTAACTACCTTGCAAGCTAGTTTTCTAACTGCCTTTTCAGCATGTACTCCAATTGAGGGTATAACTATCACAGAAATAATCATAGGAATAACTTCAGCATCTGTTAAGAGTCCTACATTATCATCACAGCCTGGTGAAGTATAGGGAGACCAGCGTTTTGTTCTGTTGGGTGGTGAGAGGTCTCCCCTGTCAGGTAAGACAACTGCTAATTTACTAAGACAACAGCGGGCCTCGGTCAAGTTTGCTGGGATGTAATTGTAAGTTATTCCCTCACAAGTATAAAACCATCCCAGTGGCAAAGTAATATGGCATTTGCTGTAAGGAATCTTTTGTTCTCTAGAACACTTCATTACATCTGTTTGTTTAAGATTTAAACACTGGGAAGTACAACCTTTATATTTGGCACAGAGAGTCTTATTGGACATAGCTACTCGAGGGGTATATAGCTTAATAGCATTCTTTGGTTTGTAACATGTCACCTGTCCCCAATTGTAACTATCCAAATAACTGAGATTTACTTGTGGGAAATTTTTAAACATAGTATATGGTCTAATACTTTTAAGTGGTCTGCATACTGGAACCAAACAACTTCCAAGCACATAATGAAAATTCACATCAGCATTTAAACATATTTCAGACAAATTTAGGGATTCAGCTAATTGTACCCAAACATTTTTAGTATGACCTAAGTTCTCTTTGGACAACGCTATTATTTTCCCAAGGGAAATCACCCAGATCATAATGCAGGTCCAGTTGAGTGGAGTTTTACTTTCAATTCTCTGGGTTTGCTGACAACGCTCCATTTTCTGTGCACCTCTGGGCTGTTGTCCAGTCCGGGCTTGAGGTGGTTGCGATGGATCCATGTCGGGTGTCCCGCAACCTTCACAGCCAGAGTAGACAGGACAACTGGAAAAGACCCCTTCCACCGTGGTTCCAAGGTCTTGGAGTCAAACCTGCGAATATTTAGCAGTTCTCCCAGCTTATAGGGCAGTGGCTGTAGAGGTTTCTCATGAGGAAGGGTCAGAGATCTTTTAACCTGGTCTTGTAGTTGAGACTGCATTTCATGTAAAGCTCTAGAGACTTAAGCAACCTCAGATGAGAGAATTTCTCCTTTAATTCCATATCTATATGGGGAACCAAGCATGGAGTACGCCCATAGATAATTTGGAAGGGTGACAGATTCAGAGGAGGCTTGGGGGTACATTGAATACACAACAGAGCAAAAGGGAGAAGCTCCACCCAACTTAATTCAGTCTCTAGGCTCAATTTAGTTAAAATCTCTTTTAGTGTTCTGTTAGCTCTTTCTACCTGTCCTGAACTTTGAGGTCTGTAAGCACAATGTAAATTCCATCTAATTCCAATGTTTAGGCTAATCAGTTTAGACACTTTAGCCATGAAGGCTGGGCCATTGTTGGACCCCAGGGCTAAGGGCAAGCCAAATCAGGGAACTATCTCAGTCAGGAGCTTTTTACTGTTACCTCAGCTGTTTCCTTTTTAGTAGGGTATGCTTTCATCCACCCTGAGAATGTGTCTATGAAAACTAACAGATATTTGTAACCATACATGCCTAGTTTCATTTCGGTGAAGTCCAGTTCCCAGTGTTCTCCAGGAGTCAGTCCCCTATATCGGACCCCTGGGGGCCCAGTTACCCGATTCACATTTACCTTGAGGCAGGTGGGGCACGGTCTCACTTTGTCCCGGGCCTTCTGGGCTAATTCTCTGCTGACAAAGTGGGGCTGTAGCAGGGCCATCATCCTCTTTTCTCCTAGGTGGGTGGATTCATGGAGCTCATTTAGCAAAGTGTTGGCCACCGTGGCTGGCAGAACGACCTTCCCTTCATCTGTCGTTCACCATCCATGCTTTCCTTTGTCCAGTGGTTCTTACTCATCTCCGTTATTTCTTCCTCTGTGTATTCAGGTCTGTCTGGGAGCACGGGTGTAGGTAGCAGCACCATTTGTTTCCCCACTGATTTTTGGGCAGCTTGCTTTGCTGCCTGGTCAGCTGCGTTGTTTCCAATCGCTTCAGGGCTGGAATTCCTTTGATGTCCATGGCAGTGAATGATGGCAACCTCCCTTGACAGCCAAATGGCTTGCAGCAGAGCCAATATCTCAACTTTGTTTTTAATTTCTTTCCCATCTGATGTTAAAAGTCCTCTATTCTGATAAATTTCTCCATGTACATGGGCAGTAGCAAAAGCATAATGGCTATCAGTGAAAATATCTCAAGGGGTGTAGTTCCCCCCACCATAGCCTCATGCAGGGGTTTGGCAATTTCAGCAAAGCTAGGTATCCAAATTCTGCAGTATCCTATGGCCCCCAGGAACTCACACACCTGCTTCTTTGAGCGGGGCATGGGGATCTGAAGGATCGCTGACACCCTGGATTCAGCTAACTTTCTTTTTCCCTTTTCAAGAACATAACCCAAGTAAGTTACCTTGGTTTTGCAGATCTGGCCTTTCTTTCAGGACACTCGATATCCCAGACCTTGTAGGGCCTCCAGGAGTCCCTCGGTGGCTGTGAGACATTTTTTCTCGGTTGTGGTCGCCACTAAGAGGTCGTCTACATACTGGAGAATAGTTGCATAGGGAAAAGCTTTCCTTACCTCTTGTAGATCTCTGCTGAGAGCCTCCCCGAACAGTGTGGGGGAGTTCTTAAAGCCTTGTGGCAATCGAGTCCATGTCAATTGTCCAGTAGTTCCAGTGTCCGGGTCTGTCCATTCAAATGCAAAGAGCGGCTGGCTTACTGGTGCCAAGGGCAGGCTGAAAAATGCATCTTTGAGATCAAGAACTGAATACCATACATGTGCAGGCGGAATGAGGCTCAGCAGTGTGTAGGGGTTCGGTACCATTGGGTGGATGGTCTCCACCCAGCTTTTTACCTCCTGCAAGTCCTGTTCTGGAGAATTTTCTTCTCCTCCGATTAGTTTAAATTCTTATTTCCCCATTTCATTTTTCTCCCCTTCTGTATAAAACACTCTTCTGCCATCATCATTATATTTATCCTTGCCATCTTTTTAGTTATTCTATCTTCGGGTGGATCCCTGTTTGTGAACACCTTCATTGCTACACTTATCAATTTTTCCCTATTCTCTCCTTCAAAGCTCTCAATTCTCTGTAATTTTTTCCAAATATCTGGGGCCGACTGAGTTACAAAAGCCAGATTAATTGCCTGCCTGATCGCTGGAGCGTCTGGGTCAATCGGAGTGTACGTGCAGTACGCCTCCAGTAAACGCTCCAGGAATGCAGAGGGGGATTCCTCAGGCCCTTGTAGGACCTCACTTACCTTGCTCAAATTGGTAGGCTGGCGAGCGGCTCCCCTAAGACCGGCCAGGAGATGCTGACGGTAGTTGCGAAGAGCTTCCCTACCTCCTTGGAATTCGATTCCCTTTTGGGATGGGAGATGGGGAGTTGTGCTTCAACTCGGGCCTGTTGTTGTTGGTCGTCAACAAGCCCCTCAGCTCCCCCCAGCACTGACTGAATAGCGTGTCTTCTAATTCTTTCTCGTTCCTCGGATGTGAGCAGAGCCTGTAAAAGTTGCTGACAATCATCCCAGGTGGGGTCATGGGTATTAAACACAGACTCAAGGAGGGAGATTAGGGCTTGCGGCTTCTCAGAGAACAGGGGATTCTGGTGCTTCAGGTTGTATAAATCACTTGTAGAGAAAGAAATGTATACATAATGACCTTGTTCTATTTCTCTCAATGGGAGCACAGGGACTGGGTCCGGTCTCTCCTGGGGCACCTCCGTGGGCCCATAAGCAGAGCCCCCTCGGGTACGGGAAGGAGAGGTGGTGGAATCTGGGATCTCCCCTTCTTTCGGGGGAGATGGGTAGATGGACTTAACTTCTGCCTCCCCAGGGGATGGTTCTGCATGTGGAGGGGGTCTTAACCTGGGGTCAGTAGGCTCTAAGGGGTCCGGCTCCTGGGAGAACACCGGCCTGGGTGCCTGCCGCTTTGCGGACTTTATCCCATTTGGTACCATTACCAGAATATGAGAACTGGTGCGCAGGGAGCAGTGCTGCAGCCATGCCGGAGGTTCTTCACAGGCCTGGGCCCAGATAGTAATATAAGGGAATTGGTCGGGGTGGCCAGGGTGTTCAATGACCTTTGCCCATACTGCCCGACAAAGTCTTGGTTCGAAAGAAACCTCAGCTGGCCAGCCCCCTCCGAAGGCGGGCCACTCCAAGTTGCAGAGGGTTCGAAGTTTCCCTCGAGAAAACTTCATTCCATATTCATCTTCCTGCTCAGGGGAAAAAGCCAATTTAAAGTTAGTGGGAAAACAGTCCAATGGGGTGTTTTTGGAGCTCGATCCTCCCATCTTGTTCCTAGGAATGAATGTAAAGTTAACACTCAACAGACAGGACACAGACAAGACACACAGGCGTCACACAAAAGAAAAAGAACTTAGATTCTACCCGGAATCCTCGTCAGGGCCGGGGTTAGGTGAGGCTTCCCGGCTCGTCAGCCACCTCTATCCTGACATCACATGGTCACAACAGATTCAAAACTTACCTCCGGAGGCTTTTCAGGTCTATGTCTGAGAATCTCCTGCTGGATCCTGCGACAGAGAATCTCGGCCGGATTTACAGTTCCCACTTGGGGATCTCACTGGGGCCTCCAAGATGTAAGACTTAAGTCTCACTTTTACTCCTGGAGCGTGAACAGCCAAGAGGCTTCCACGATGCTGGGCTCAGAAGCTCAGCGAGGCTCCAGGAGCTTGTCGGACAGCGAGAGTCACCCAGGAAGGAACACACCAGGCAAGTTGGCAAATAGACCTTTATTAGTCTGGCCAGATGGCACTCCCCAAGCTAAGTAGCTCAGAGAGGCGGCCAGCTCAGAAACAGAGGCCATTTTATATAGGGCTAAGGGAGGGTTTACACTTAAAACTTACAGGAAGAGGACAAAGGCAAAGAATCAGTTGATCTGAGCTAGCGGTCATCAAGCATATACTTGACCGTCATGTACTAATGATCAGCAGATCGATTATCCAGTATTCCATTTACAACTTAGATTATAATGTTCAGAACATTCAACTACAGGCAAGTAAGGAGTGGCGTGATTCATGTTGGATCTCTGTGTTCACTATAGTTTCCATTTAGTTTCCCAGCTACTTCAAAGCAGTTACCTAACAATTCATAATTAATCATTAGTTATCCTGTAGGGGATGTGGGGGAGCGACAGTCTCTAGGTCGTTTGCTGGTCAACATGGAGTTGCTCTGGTTCAGTCAGGCTCTTACAAATCCCCCCAGTACTGGGATTGAACCCTGGTCTTGTGCATGCTAGGCAAGCATCCTAGCCCTGAGCTACATTCTCATCCCTTTTTATTTTCTTTTGAGACAGGGTTTCACTAGGTCACTAGGCTTCCCAGGTGGCCTCAAACTCAAGATCCTGCTGCTTCAGTAATTGAGGTTAGAAGAATGTGCCACCATGCTGCAGATCAAAAGGGAGTAATTGTAGACAATTAAGAGTTTGCTGGGCAATCCCAGCACTAGGGAAGCTGAGGCAGGAGGACTGCCCTGAGTTCGAGACCATCCTGGGCTACATAGCAATATCCTGTCTCAAAAAAAAAAAAAATCTGCTTGTTTGTTTGTTAAGGAAGTCAGACCTGGTAGCACACAACTATAATCTCAGTTTATTTAGAGGTTGAGGCAGGGAGTCATAAATCCAAGGCCAACCTGAGTAGATAAGTGAGTCCCTATCTCAGAAAATAAAAGGAATCTGAGGTTGGTGGCACAGGCCTGTAATCTCAGCCCTGGGGAGCCAGAGGCAGGAGGATTATCAGGAGTTTGAAGCCAGCCTGAACTACATAGTAAGACTCTATCTCCAAGAAAACAAAAAAAGAAAAGAAAAAGGATGTGAGATGTGGCTCAGCAGTGGAGTGGTTGCCTGGCATGCACTGGGTTCAATTCCCAGTAATCCCCTCCCCACGCAGATATTTTAAGGGAGATGGAAGTCAAAGTATATTATACATGTATATGAAAAATGCCACATGTAGCCCAATATTCTATAAATTAATATGTACTATAAAATAATCTGGGTGTGGTGGTACACACCTGTAATCCCAGCACTTGGGAGACTGAGGGAGGCTGAGGCAGGAGGATCATTGTAAATTCGAGACCAGCCTGGCCTACATAGTGAGACCCAGTCTAAAAAAAAAAAATAAAAAAAAAAAAGAAAAAAAATGTACTGTAAAATATATACTGAAAAAAAGAGCTTTCTTCTCATGAAAGCATGTAGATGATTAGTGATGCCTGTCCAGCAGTCTAAAAAAAAAAAAAAAAAAAAAAAGGAAAAATATGTACTGTAAAATATATACTGAAAAAAAGAGCTTTCTTCTCATGAAAGCATGTAGATGATTAGTGATGCCTGTCCAGCAGTCTGTGTTTATTTAATGACTTCTTTGGAAAGAGCTGGCGATTTAGCTTGGTGGTAGATCTTTGCCTAGCATGTGTAAGGCTCCAGTAAAAATAAGTTATTTGTTATTCTTTAAAATATCTATTTAACCCCTGTAATTCCAGCACTCAGGAGGCTGAGGCAGGAGGATCCCTGTGAGTTCAAGACCAGCCTAGGCTACACAGTGAGTTCCAGGTCAGTCTCAACTATACAGTGAGACCCTGTCTCAAAAAAAACAAAAATGGGCTGGGGTTTAGCTCAGTGGTTCCGCTGCCTGCATCACAAGTACAAGGACCCGAGTTCGATTGCTGGTACCAAAAAAAAAAAAAAGTATATATCTATATCTATATATAGATATAGATATATATATGATTTAAGTGCTAAAAGAGCTTTTCAGTAACAATGAAGCTTTTTGTGTTTCTTTTTTTTTGTACTGAGAATTGAACTCAGGACCTTGTGCTTGCAAGGCAAGCCACAGCAGCACTGAGCTAAATCTCTGGCCCTTGTATTTCTTTTTGAGAAGCTGTGAATAATGTAGGAGGTGACAGCTTCCCTCTTCATCAAAAATAGTAAAGAAGGTGGGCCTGTGGTTTAGCTCAGTGGTTCCATTGCCTGCCTCCCAAGTTCAAGGACCCAAGTTTGATCTCCAGTACCAAGAAAAAAAAAAAGTAAAGGAATGTATTTATTTTTAGTCTTTTTTTTTTTTTTTTTGATACAGGGGATTGGGCCATTTCGTTTAGCCAGGGAGGCAGTGGAAGCACTGAGCCAAATCCCCGTCCCTAAAGGAATGTTTTTCTTGATGGTAGTTGAAGACATTAACAATAGAGTCAGGGGTGGGCCGCTGCCTGCACTGCAAGTGCAAGGTCCCAAGTTCATCACAATACCAAAAAAGCAAACAAACAAACAATAGAATCAGCGGAGAGATAAGGAATGTACTAAGAGGAGGTACACTCCATCCTCCTACCCCTGGTTTTTACCTAGATAGGCCTTGCTCATAGGCAGACAATGGGTTGTCTGTGTGAATAATTTAAACAGCCGGGAAGACACATGTAATCACAATGATGCTTGAAATGCTACCATTTGTAATCTATTTCTTTGTACTAAGCAGAAGTTCTTGAAGTTTACAGATTTATAATAGGAGAAATATGTCAGTTCAAGGCCCCCTCAACTGCATATCAAGACCCTGTCTCAAAAAAAAAAAAGATTTAGTTTTTTTGTTGTTTTGTTTTGGCACCAGGGATCAAACTTGGGTCCTTGTGCTTGTGAGGCAGGCAGCAGAATCCCTGAGTTAAATCCCTGGCTAAATCCCTGGCCTGATAGTTCTTGCTTTAATATATCAAAGATTTGATTGGTTCAAGTCTTAAGAATTTTGTTAGTCATGTATTCCAAAGACATTTTTCCTAAACATTTTATAGGTTTTTGTTTATTTGTTTTTGTTTTGTTTTTTCTGTATGGGGATCATACTCAGGATCTTGTACTTGCGAGGCAGGCAGCATCTGGTACTGGGGATTGAACTCAGGACATTGTACTTGCTAGACAGGCCCAGTGCCACTGAGCTACATCCCTGGCCCAGAAGAAAGGCTATTTAATTCATTTTGTTTTGGTTTTTTTGTTTTGTTTTGTTCTGTTTTTTGTTTGTTTGTTTGTTTTTTTGAGACAGGGTCTCACTATGTAGTTGAGACTGACCTGGAACTCACTGTGTAGCCCAGGCTGGTCTCGAATTCACAGTGATCCTCCTGCTTCAGTTTCAGGAGTGCTGAGATTATAGGCGTGGGCCACCACATTAAAACAGGGTCTTGTTAATTTGTTTCAAAACAGGGTCTTGTTCTGTTGCTCAGATTAGTCTCAGGTGACTCTACCTCAGTCTCCTCAGTTCTAGGACTATAGGCACATGTCACCATGGCTTCTAGTAAGTCCATTTTTGGTTGTTTTGTTTGGTTTGGTTTGGCAGTGCTGGAGATTGAATCCAGGACCTTGTGCATGCTAGGCAAGTGTTCTACCGCTGAGCTACATTTCTGGCTGTGGTAATTTAGTTTTAAATAATACCACTTGAAGACCAAGAATCATAATATTCAACCCCTAATCATTTCATTTCAGTTTTTACTCTCTTTGCAGTGGAAAAACTCAGGCCAGTATGTTCCTACTGTCATCATTCATTAATACAATCCACTGTGAGCCAGTACTTCAATTAAAAAAAAAAACTCTCAAGAACAAAACATTTTGTACAATTTTTTGTTTGTGTTTTGGTTTTTGGTGCTGATTTGACCCAGGTCCTCTTGGATGCGAGGCATGTGCTCTACCGCCGAGCCTTCCCCCAGCCTTGTACACAGCATCCAAGCCAATAATGACTAATAGAAAGGATATATTTGCTTTATTCTGCTACACAGTCCTACTAAATACACCCCTAATTTCCCTGGTTCTTAACACTTACAGTAACTAGACATCTGTAATTGTTTTTGGCTGCCCCACCTTTGAACCTGCTTGCTGATTTAGGAATCTGGTTATCTGGTTATCTGGATCAGGCTGTCCCTTTTAACTGCAGAATCCTGAGGGGTGTGATTCACCCTTATTCACTCCCTGATAGCCTCGCACCCTGTGTTTGGCCACTTTGAATCTTGAGCAAGTGGTACCAAGATGAAGGGTTGATGGATGGTATCAGATCTGTGATCCTTACGGTACCTACACTCTGTCACTGTGGCTGGGTCAGAGTAGAGGTAGCATATGCTAATGGCTTCCAGTTTCGGGCTATTACTGATAAGCAGCTACAAATATGCACATAGAGGTCTTTATAGGACACGTATTTCCTTTCCTCTCTGATAGGATGACTGGGTCATCTGGTAGTTGTGTCTGCAAATTTTTAAGAAGCTGCAAGTTGTGCCAGGTGTGGTGGCACACATCTGTAATCCCAGCCCTCAGGAGTTTGAGGTCAGCCCGGGCTACACAGTGAGTTAGAGGCCCAGCTTGAACTACATAGGAAGACTCTGT